ATTCAAAAAAATTTGGCTTACAAATTGTAAGCCACCGACCAAAAGGTAGATTCGATAGACTATTTATGAAGCTACATCTATTCTGAATTTATCTGTTACAAATATACAAATTTAAGGCAAGATATAAAAACGAATAAAACAAGAACATGTAAAAAGTAACATTAATAAAATGTCCATTAACGATGCATTAGAATAAATTGTTTTGTAGTTAAGTGAAAAAATATATACTATTCCCGTCAAATCATATACATATACGCAATATGAATGGAATATACAACACTTCATTTGTGCTAATAATACTCAGAATCCATACTTCATCGATAACGCCGGGTATTGACACTAAAATGATAAGGGGCTTCTGATGCCCTCGGAGCATGGGACAGAAAATTACATTGCATGTTAGGTCTATTCTTATATCTTGTCTGTGATGCTAGCGTGGAACCAAAACGGGTAGATTCCTACTACTATGCCGAAATTGGCCGCTTGGTGCAGCACACACTCGGGGACAACGAATTCCCGGGCATGAGCATTCTTTCATATTTCCTCTGTGTCACTCTGATAGTATATGGTATACACTTCTGCCGCTACTATAGAATGAAATTGGGTAGTGATGATAACAAGAAGTTTTAAGCCGCAAAAGTACGTGGATAATATAAAAACAAAGCGGGAGACGTGTAATATCAAATTGTAGTATATACGTTCTAAACCGCATACATCAATGTATGTTTACATTTCCAAACTGCAAGCACACAACTCACGTTTCTATATTTAAACAATCGTCCAAAAACAGTGTGACAATTTGTGATGTAAGTTATACCAGTGGTATAGTATATTACCTTATTCTACATATATATAGAAGTTTTGGAAACATTAGTGGTGCAAGACAAAACATATGCTTTTGAGATATTTAGAGGTTCAGGAAAAATCTTATAAAGGCCCCTTAAAATATTGATGATTATGTATGAATGCTGACATAATAATTGAGTATGTTGATTATATTGAATATATCCAATATTATATATTGATATTTAGTAATATCAACTCATGTTACGATGTTATACTCGATATCCCTTGTTGAGTTGACAAAGAGCTACCTAAATATGTACCATTTATGTAGATGATAGAATGAGGCTGTCTTTCTGTGGGATTAACTATAATTTATAAAACCTTGACTCCTATCATTAATGTTTCCAACGACTTATATAATGAATACAAATATAGTACTAAAAATAAACTACTTATAGCTTATGTGTTGTATGTTTGTTGATTTATAATATATGTACAATGATGTGCTTCAGATGGATGACAAAGATCCAACCAGTGTGATTAAAATGATTAAGGATTTAAGGTCAGGTTCTGAGGCCTATCGTAAAAGTAATAGTGGTCTATCACTACGATTATCAAGTACTGCATACACATCATTCGGTGATCATGAGGGATGTAACATTTCACCTAAGAGGCCAAGACTCGATGAAACACCTAATAGTACTTTGAATAAGAGTGAGACAGGAACTGTACCAGGCAGTCCATGGGAATGGAGGAGACTAAAAGGAGAAGTAATTTATTTCTGTTAATAGTACATATATCTCAATACCTTTAAAGTAAAGAGAATAGTATACATATACTTATGTTTGCATAGGTGGTATCATTAAGAACAAGACTGTCTCATCAAGAGGCTGCAGTACAGCAGCTTCACAAAATACGAAGACAAATGGAAGAGGTTTTTGAAAAGGAGAAAAGTATTTTAGACATGCAAGTGGAGCAAGACAAACAAACTATTAAACAATTAGAAGTACGACTTGATATTGCACGCAGAACAATTCAGGATGCACGCAATGCTCAAGCTACAGCTGAGAAAGAACTGTTTCAGGTAAAGGAGCTGTGGCGGCACTACCTTCCTTCCTACATTCGCCATCAGAGGTCTACCGAGTTGACAACTTTCCCGCAACTACTTGAAGCCTTCCTCGTTCCTATATATACGTCCTTAACCGACCATCGTATATCCCCGCGTCTAAGGCATGGTCTGCTAGAAAGCCTTACTGACGAGTCCACTAGCAGGCCCAGGACGAAACGCTCCCTCTCCCTCTCCTTTCCCTCACATTTTTCAGTCAACAGTTACCGCCAAAAAGCAATTTTACAGCTTCCTCCTTCAGTTACTCTGTCCTAACATTTTTACACATTACACATCTTTCAGGTGAAGACAAATTTAGAACAAAAGACAATGGCACTAACGAATGAAAATGCAAAATTGTTAGGCGATTTGAAGCATACTTCTAAAGAAGAGAATATATCAGCTCCAAAAGATGTAGACTCATCAGATGCACAACTGAAATTGGATGCAGCCCAAACAAGAATAGCACAGCTAGAGGAAAAATTGAAAGAATACCAGACTAAACAGCAGGAAATGGAATTACAGAATGTAGAACTTCAAAATATGAAAATAAAAATTGAGAGACTTGAATCAGAAAAAGCATTGTGGGAAGAAGGAAAGGTACTAACAGCGAGAGCAGCAAAAGCGAGTGAACTTGAGAAAGAGCTTAGTGTGGCAAAAGAGTCTATTATGTCATTGAGAGAATCTGTTAGAGGGAAATTACTCTTAGAGGAACAAATGGCCAATGTGATGAAAAGGTATTTCTTGAAAAACAGTTTTGAGTGGTATTCATTAATTTTTGCTAACACATTTATAACTACACAGGTTAGAGCATACAGAGAAAGTGGAACAACAAGTGGCCACGTTAGAAGCAAAAAAAACGGAACTGTTATTACGTTTATCAGAGTACGAATCGATCGGAATCAGTGGCGGGCCGTCTGTTTTGAAACGCGAGCTAAATCGTTTGCAACAAGCAGAACTCGTTTTAAAAGAAGAGGAGGGTCAACTGAAATCCCGACTGGACGCTGCGTTACGGAAAAATCAGATTCTAGCGAAAAATTATGAGGACGCGAAAAAATTGGCCACAGATGTAACAGTTTCCAAAGAAAATTTGAATAAACTGCTGAGTAGGTTACAAAAAAAACTGATTCTTGTTACGAGGGAGCGTGATAGTTATAGGCAACAACTGGACTTATACGAGAAGGAGATAACTGTGGATAGCAATAACGCAATAACAGAAAGAATTCCGGCGTTGGAACGCGCTATAGACGCTTACAGGTATTTAAAAACTGATATTTAAAATATTATTAGTTACAGTCTTTAGTAGTTCATATGGCAGAAACTAATAGCTGTTAAGGATGGAATTTTAGTGAACATATGATAGATGTTATAAAAAGTTTTGAAAACATAAATTCTTACTGCATTTATGCAATAGAACTGAAATTTTACGTGAATATTTGGTGTGACTAGTGTATCAAATGTATCTGTGAGAGTGTGTTTATTGTTCGAGTTGTTATAAATTGATTTTTATCACTTTATAGATGTTACATTTTGATTGAACAGTTTATAGATGTGCAAAGATTTGAACTTATTATTGTTGTGACATAAAGTGGCATTACTAAATTGTACAAAACTGGTCGATAATTTCAGGGAACTGGTTGCGAAGTTAGAGTCAGATCTTCAAACGGCGGAGGGTTACAATCAAATAGATGAGTGCAACAAGTTAAACGCGGAAATTGACCGATTGAAGGGTGAATTAGAACATCGGGCGTTGAAAGGTGACTTTAATTGTAACGCGAGGGTATTGCACTTCACTATGAATCCCGCCGCCGTTGCGGAGAAGCAGGCGGAAGAGAAGCAGATAGCGCTGTTACGGGAATTGGAGGAGCTGAGAGCGAAAGTGGCGCAAGGGGGAACGAATGCAATGACGGCCTCCTCTTCCCTTCAAGTTCAAGGTAACGGTTTTGTTTGTACAATTACATTGAAAATCATTTATTTACAATAGCACGCCTTCAGAAATAACGGAGCTGAAACAGACCCACGAAATCAAAATAGCCCGTCTCAAGGAGGCCTTCAAGGCATCGTCTCAGGAGTACCGGCAAGCGTGTTATCTGTTGTTCGGTTGGAGAGTGGACAGGACCAAAGAAGGTCGCTACAGATTGTCTAGTCAATACGCGGAATCACCGGAGGACTTTCTGTTTTTCCACATTGGCGAGGAAGGGGTGGATCTTCTGGAAACTGCTTTCTCGGCAACGTTAGGATCTTTGGTGGAACAATACTTACAACGACAGCACAGCGTTCCTATGTTCCTTAACGCCGTACAAACGGACTTGTTTAATCAACAAACCATGACGAATATTATGAGTTGAGCATCTCAAGGGAAAAGCCGATTCTTAAGTCTGATATCCATTCCTGTATACTTTGGGCGCTGAAGGTAATGGCGTCGTACGCTCGTGGGGGTTCTTCAGTGAACATATATTCCAGATATGATTAAACGCATTTCTACAGACGCTTTATCTTTTATATATCTTCAATGTGTCTCCTTCGTGTTTTTGGTAATCAATAAATTGCCATATTGTATCTCTCAGGTCGTACAATGTTACTCTTCCTCTTAGTGGCTCCTCAATTCCATTTCACAGTTCCATTGATAATCAAAGTTGTTACACTATACAGTCTTCGTAGCCTAATTTCACGTCGGTGAACAGACATCGCCGAATCGTTATGCCCACCGTATTCCGCGTTAGTTACCCCTTTCGAACGAAACACCGACTATGCTCAACGGCGCGAAGCTAATCCCGAAACTGCACTATCGTTACTCGCTTTACTTATTACGGAAACCAACGGAATAGCTGGCAAAATTATTTCTTATAACGGCGGTTACGGTGCGTTACGAGATAACAATTAACACGGCTCTGCTAGACACCTCGTTTCCGCTATGATTCCCGGGGTAATTTCAATTCTTTCGACTTTTCGATGAGACTGTTTTTCGGTTCTGTATTGCGGACCAAGTAAGTCGTTCCAGGAGAATCTCTGACTACGGCGTGGTTTCGGTGCCACGGCTGAGACAATAATGGTCACTCTCCAACTACTGTTAAGCAATTGATATTGTTGAAACTAACTTCTGACCACTACGGGAATCCACCACTTAACGCGAGAAACAGTATCGCGCCCCCTCTATAACTTGGGGATTTCCTGGTTGAACTTTAGTTTCTCGTCCGACCCGTTCGAATAGGTTCGGGGCGCAAGATAGACGGCGTTAATCTCGCGTCCAATTTCATCAGCACACGGAACTCCAAACTCCCGCGAAAGAATCGCTTTGTTAACGTGCACGGACTCGAACGCTACGTTTCTCCCTCGGTCTTCCTTCGTTCCGCGAGAATTTACTCCATTTTGCTTGAGTTATTGCTCCCGCTTCGCAGGATGATCCGCCGCTTCCTTCCAACGGAAAACCGTGCGAAAGGGATTTGTTTAATCGGTCGAAAACTGCCCTTGGTACTGGAGCCACGAGGATCAACCTTAGACTTAGGAATATAGACATTCGAAATGATGATTTTAAATTCTTGCACACAACTGTCTTCGTGATATTCGTAACCGTGGCGGGAATGCTGGATGTCATGATTATTGAAGAAACGAAAGGGAACATTGTACATGATCCTCATATGGAACACAGTGTATGTACCTCGAATTAACTTCACTCCAGAGAACCGGAGGACAAGTAGCGCCGGCTGTAGAATAATCTTACCGTGTGCGGAACGAGAAACATCTCTCTCCCTTTTGGTCCCTTAAAATATTAAATGCTATTCCCTTTTGCACGCTCCAACGCGCCTCCCCCGTTTGATTATTTATCCCCGGATGTACGGTAGTAAATACACGTGGCACACGTACGTGGTACAGACACGTGTATCTACACACTCGATTCCGTGTCTCCTAAGTTCAGTGACTCACGGTCGCTAATGAAGACCGTCGCCCTCGGTTCCACCGCGGACAATGCAATTCGAATTGGTCTTTCGGGGATTCCGACTGCCTTTTTCAGGCACGTAGGATTACGGCTGGGTATATACATATATGTATACCGTGTACGTAACGGATCCCCGGGGACAGCTAGGCGATCTTCTCCAGCGGCAACGTTCCATCGTCGTGGCTTTTCCAGCACGATAAGAATTCGAAAAGCCCTCCCCCCTCGCCTATCCTTGGATGCGCTTTCGTCGGATCGTTCGGTGGTGGGGCAGAGAAATTACGACATAATTGAGATGGATGATTCCACCTCCACCTCTTTCCGGGAGTGGAACTCCGTCTTTTCATTCATGCACGCAGAACTCCTCCAGTCGTTTCAAGTCGAATACGGATGTTTACGATTCAGTTACAGAAACAGATGTTAAATAGACGTTTTGTTGTTCTATCGAGAGGTTTTTCGTATGTCAGAAACATAGTGAAAGTTTTATCGATTTCCATTCAAGTGTGTTCTGCACAGGGTGATTCACAATTATAAGATTCTCAATTAAGGAACTGGAGAGTCAAACCCAATTACGATTTCCACTGAAGTTCAACGTACCTTTAAATCCCTCATTTAGTCCAATAAACAACCCTTCGAATGAAGAAAACAGTCAAATACACCAGCGATTTTTCGAAATTTCTTTGTATATTCGCGAATCTGTGTGTAAACGACTACTAGTTACTAATAAGAACAGACTTCGAGTGGCGTCTAATGACCGAACTTATTTTCCCGATATTCGTTTCTTATCAAACAACCTCGTCAAAGGGCAAACACACACACACACACACACAGTAGATACACTTCGAGGTGTATCTAGCGTATGTAGCACCGTGTGCAGAACAGGGTGTGCTTGTCGAAGGTGTATGAAACACACGGTGGACGTTTCCCTAGATACGTGGGCACACGTACCTACCTCCGTAGAAACTGGATGACCGAAAGCATTTTCGTGGGCGGAGGCTGGTTGACGACAGGAACTCGATATAACGGCGCCAGCTGCGAAGGGACTCGGTGTCGACGGGAACTCCCGCGCCCCTGAAACTCCATTATCCTTAATTATAATCGCGTTTAATCGCAAACTCATCCAGCTCCATATGTGCGGCGTCGGCCACGGTCTTAACTTGGGCGTTCGAAGCCGCTGTTACCTTGGGTTATCAATCTGGAATCAGCCGGATGCCGGGGAGGTGAAATCTTTTTGTGTAACACTGATCAGCCGAGGATTTCTTCGTTCTGCAACAATGGTTATCGTATCACGGGATGGGAACATGCGCTAAGATCGAAGGGAGGAGGGGAGGGATGGAGAACAATTTTCATTAAAGGGTAAATTGAATTTTGGCCCGGCTGGCTCTTCCACGCGGATACACTGAAACAGAATATGTACTTACACCGTTACTATCTGTATCGCTATTAATCGGTTACGTCGAAAATTTTGTTAATTATCTACCAATAAAACATTTGTGGTGGTATTTATTGTATTGTTAATGTTAATTTTAGTTGTATCTTTGTGAATATAATTTTTGTGAATACGAAAGAGTAAGTTTTAGCTGGACGAATAAGTCGTTCATTGTGTTTGTAGTAAGGTGAAAGTTCAATTCAGAATGTTATTTGTTTGATCTTTTGTTCAGTGAAAATGGGATAGGATGTGGGAAGAAAGAAAATACATTAGTAGAAACAAGTAGAAAATCTACCAAAACATGATGAATTACTTATTAGTATACTTAATAGGGGAATTATTGGGGACAAGCATACCTTCATTTTGATAAATTAATGGAAACAGTATTTAGTCTGCAAATGATTCACCGAATCGATGGAAACGTGTACTGGACGTTGTTTTATCTGAAACACACGAAAAATACCATATTATATATTTACCACAAATATTTATTTATTTCCTCTGGAATCCAGCATATATGAGTTACACTTAAAAGACTGAATCCGTATACTGAGTGTTACTATTACAAAAATTAGTCTTTTAAAAGATTGAAACGAAAAAAATTAACAGAAATGAAAAGTGTCGCGTATTATTTCTACCAGGAGTGATAAAATGGCGGAGATCAGCTCAGTACATATACATAATTCACGTCCTAATATTTATTTCCTCGAATCTCAGTGAATAAATCCCCGAGCACCGTTACGCACCAATTTGTCTCCGTTATTCGTCGCATATTTATCTCTCGCAATACATGAATTTATTTCGCGAAGAAATTCCTGTTAATTTCATCCCTCGGTTGATACCTCGCTCACTCGCGAACGCTTTGCCGTCTGCGCACGCACATCCAGTTTCGAACTTTTTAATGGAACTTTCCGCGAGTGTAATTGCGTTTTCGAATCGGTACAATTAATGTATAACTATTTCCCGGTGCTAGTGGCGCGGCAACTGAATACTTTCAAAAATTTCTTAATCACTCAGCGAGAAACAATGAAGAAGGATCATCTTACGGAGATTCTACATCAGTCGGTGATAAATCAATTTATGTATGCAGTACTGTACTTACATATAAATGAAATATATATGATATATTTGTAAAATGTTTACATTATTTTAACACTCTCTATATTATAAGCATTATTAAATAATACTGTGTTGCGGAAAAGTTGGGTCTAAAAATTGTGTGAAAGTTATAACAGCGTTAACGAATCGAAAACTTGATTGGGTCGAATAAATCCGAAGATCGTAAAGGATTAACTCTTTAATGGCCGTTGATGCCATATTGGCATAAAAGTGTTGTTTCCAGCAGAAACGCAGAAACGGTGCAAGTCTTATTATATGTTTTAAATTCATAGACCAGTTATAGAAAAACTTTGATTATTATAAACTACACTGGCGCAACTACCTACGCGTTAATTATGAAGTCTCGTGAACCGAAAAGAACGTCGCGGAACAGGCAACCTCCATGCATCCACAGACGGAATTTTTCAGCTGCGTTTACGCTGGTTCGAAGTACGGAATATAACTCTCGTGTTGTCGGAGCTGATACACGCAGCTTTGTTGGGTTCCCTCACGAGCAAACTCGGCTTCCGCTAGGGGAAATTGTGGCGTAGGAGAAGGGTCTACTACCGCTTGGTAAACTTATTTTTAGAAGGCCAGACTCCAGTCTTTCCCTCAGCGGAAGCCGAGTTTGCTCGTGAGTGTAGATAATGCATGCGTGGTGACGAAATGGGGATCATTAAGGCACCACGAGGTTCTTTGTCGACGACGCAAAGTGTTTTGTACAGTCGTCTTCAACTTGGAAACACAGTTTTTCTGTTAGAAATTTCGCGTGTGTTGTAACAATGATTGAAATGAGATCGCAACGAAACCCCTAAAACTTCGTATGTGTGTATCAAGTCTCCTAGGTCTCTTTGTACACGTTTCCTTTTGTATTTCCGTTGCACCGTTACTGAAACCTGCGAGAAACATCTGCAACGACTGGTTCATTCGGTATCGGTCCGTAATGGAATCTCTCCCACAGTTATTCGTTTTGTTGCTGAGCGAAAAAAAAGGGGGAATCGCGGGTAAGGTCGATAAGTGCAAATTA